TTTCCGAGCCTTGACAACCTCTCCGAAGCCTCCTTTTCCTAAACGACCTTCCTCATCAAAGTCCTCCCGATAACGTGATGAGGTGGTTCCCCTATTCGTCAAGATTCCTCTGTTCGTTGACTCACGCCTTAGCCTCGGTGGCATGGGTGACAAAGAGCCGAGGGAATGGTAGCTCGACATGATGGCAGTGTTGTCTTCCACCACTACCGGCGCGTCTGTGGCAAGAAACTCGCTTGAGCCTAGCTCAAAAGCGCGAGGTCTCTTCTTAGGGTCCATTTTGAAGAGCTTTGTGACCAACTCGTGCAATGGTTTTGAAAGAGATAGGGAATCGAAAACATCAGTCGGCGATCGATACTTCTGGGGGACGTCAAGCCCAAAGATCATCTGCAGGAAGACGAGGCCAAAGTCCCAGATGTCCGTCTTCGCTGTATAATGCGGTTTCGATAGGGTTGCAATCTCGGGTGGCAGCCAATAGGCAGATTTGGCAGAGCTTAGGCCGGGCGGTGCCTGTCCTTTCGAAGAGATATTGTGCAATTCCCTCTGATAGCTTGCATCAGACAACTTTGGCACCACCTCCCCAGTTTGCTCTCTGAAAAGCAGGATATTCCCTGGATGGATATCTTGATGAACGAGCGACTTGTTGTGGAGGAAGTTCAAAGCATCCAAGAGGTCCCTCGTCCAAGCGCGCACTTTACTGGTGTCTAGACGATCAGCTAGATCCAGCAACTCAGATAGAGAGCCCTTCTCGGCGCTGGGGGTGAGGACGCTGACGGTCCAGAGATGCATCGACGACTTTTCTGCGTTGTTTTTTTCCTGCTCCACTCTGAAGTCCAGAACCTCAAGCAAGTTTCGATGGCGAACCTGTTTCAGCGTCTCAAGCTGGTTCTCTAGGGACTGGACCTGTTTCTTGAAAACAGCAATGTCCTTTGTGGCAGGACGCAAAGTCGTCTCCTTCAGGGCCAAGTTGGGGCATTCTTGACCACTGGGAACGATGGGCCAGACAGAACAGACGGAAGAAAGGGGACCTTTTGCGACCTCAGACTTTCCGAAGACAGCCTGGAATGAGATGATATTTCCAGTCTTGTCTGTGGTCTGACAGGGACGATCGAAGACGATGCGCCCGCTCTCGGTACCGTTTATCCCGCCCATGGTGCTAAGCGGCGACATCCCGTTGGGGTTTTTCTTCTTGCGTGACTCCTTGGCCTTCTCTTTCTGGCGCTTAAGTTCAACCTGCAGCAGGCCGCCAAGTACTCTCTCTTCCTCCTTGCTCTCTTCCTCTTTCTTCCGCTCCTCCTCTTCTTTCTGTTCCTGCGCTAGTTTGGCAAGGAATGCTTCGTGAGTGGCCCTCTCTTCTTCAAGTGAGGGCAACTCACGACCCTTTGCCTTGGCTTGCGCGGCGTCTTCCAAGATGTCTCTCAGTCCTTCCACAATACGATCTACCATCTCCTGCTCCTCAGTGGCAAAGACCCTCGGCTGTATCTCAAGGTACTTCTGAAGTTTGAACAGCACGACCTCACGAAGGTCGCCGGTATCTTTCAAAGTCAACAGTGGTGGGCTTTTAGGATACGTGGCTGTCATTACGACGCTCAGTGTGACAGCGAAGTCTTCATCTGAAGAAGCCCTAATGCGAACGTCGAACGCAGGTTCTGATTTCTAGTGAGGCATCAGCACTGCTTTTGCGCCGGTGAGTCGCTATCGACGATGACGTCTTTACCTTCCAAGCACTCTGCGTCTCTGCATGCTTCACGAAATCCTCCCCGTACATGGATTCCAGAACGATGAGTTCGTTCTGCTGGAGCTCCTCATATTCAGTTTTTCTGGTTCTCTCGGGACTCCTGGGTTTGAGTCCCGGGAAGCTTGAGTCATCTTTTTTCTTAGTCGGTAGGTTGACGGGCTTGTTCCACACCCCGGATGATTTCGACGCCATATCGTAACGACGAGAAAAGGCTTGACAAATCACCACAGCATAAGCCGTGATAATCCGTTAAGGGTAAGCCATGTTGTTCTGCAATATCGTGGTAATCTGGTTCAAAAGTATGTGTTGATGATGGTCTAAAAAAGGAAAAAAGGCAAACGAATTTCAGCTGACCGGGTTGAAGCGCCACCAGGCATCGACCGCTATTCGCCTTGCTTGATGCGCTGTCACAGTATGGCTGTTTAGGCGTACGTCAAGTGGGGGTTGACAGCGACAGCTGGTGCCCCTCACTGATGACGCCCATGGCCTCAGGGGTCCTTCCAGTGGGGACTGGGAGCCAGAGGTCTGGACAGAAACGCTAGCGAGGAGCGAAGAACGCTAGGCACCGTGATGGCACCGTACGCGAACTGTATGGGGCAGGCGGAGGAAGCGACGAACCACGGACGCGCCATCCACATGCGGTAACAAAGTAAACAACCAAATTCGACATGGAACCACATCCGTTCGCCGCGGTCAGATCACCAACTACAAACTAATTGAAAACCCTCCAACACGCCAGCGCAGGTAATGCGATCGCTTTGGGCGAGCATTGCGGACTTGCTACACGCCACGGCCAGCAAGTGAACCAATTCCTCCGCGCTTTCAACCTTCATTGCGGACATCATTCATTCCCCACGAAAGCAAGGATGCTGGGCTGGGTACTCAGGCGAGGATTGGAGGGCGCGTCTGGAGGAAACAGAGCACAAGCAGGCGGAGGAGGTACATATCATCAACACCAACGCCAGACACACGATATGCCAGGTCAGACTAACATGGCAGCAGATGACACCACCCAGATCGAGCAACCAGACACGCCAGCGCCCGTCTTCGCCGCCCGAGCATTGAAAAGCGCAATCTTTGGCACTCCTGCCCGAGACGACGATCGCGACCACCGTGCCGCCGGCATGTCGCGTAACAGGAACGTAGACGACTCCGAAACCGAGTCGCGTACACCGGTGAAGCAGCCACAGGGCATTTTGCTCACTCCCGGCACCGGTACCTCTCGACGAAAACGCGTCTCGTTTGGACACGATGTTTTGGACAAAGGCGGCCTCAAGAAAGGCAAGGGAAAAGATACGGATGACAAGCCTGGAAAGTTCCCCAGCAGCTTCGATAGCGCAGGCGACTCGGCAAGCAAGCGGACGAAGCTCACCGAGACAATGGAGAACTCCCGCAAAGGGAAGGCGCTCAGCAGCTCGCGGGAGACGCAGCAACCCCAGCAGACGCGTCTCCAACCTCAACCAGCGAGGATTGACGATGCAGAGGACGAATGGGAGGAGGCCGACGAGGACCAATGCACGCATGACATGACGATTGATCTTAATGAGCCTCATTCGCGGTCAGGAAAGTACTGGAAGTCGGAATTCGAGCAGTATCACCAGGACGCTAAAGCCGAGATGGAGAAACTGCTCAAATACAAGCAGCTGGCCAAGTCCTACGCCAAGCTGAAAGACGCCGAGGCTATCGACCTGAATGTAAAGCTCAAGGAAGAGCAGGACAGGGTGGCTCAGATGGAGCAGAAGATTGCCGAGATGGCGGCGCAAATAGCTGCGAAGCGCGTCAGCGGCGAAGAAAGAGACAATCCTCAGCTTATGAAGGACCTGGCGAAGCAGACTGCTGTTGCTGTCGAGTACAGGACCCAGGTCAAGGAGCTAGCGGCTCTGCTGGAGGGTCGCGACGATGACGGAGACCCCCATACGCGCAGACGACAGACAGCCTCTCCACGGACGCAGAGGACCCTTGTGGAGACGCAGCGTGAGTTGAGGAAAGCCAGGTCTCAGGTTAAGGAGAACAACCAGATGAAGGAGGAAATCGAGAAACTCAAGTCCGACCTGCTGTTTGCTGAGCAGCGAGCAAACAAGTTGGCCGAGGAGAACAAGCGTTTGGCTGAGCAACAGCCTCTCCCGGATAAGACCAAGACAGCTTCATCTGCCGAGTTGGAAGAGCTGGAAGAGTTGCGGGAAGAATCACGCCAGAAAGATGAAGAGCTGCGCCGAATCAAAGCAGACTTTGATGCCTACAGAAAGGACGCTGAAGCTGCTCAAGAGGATACGAGACGCATCCTCGAGAAAGCCACCGACAAGATCAACGACCTGAAGAAGGAAGTGAAGACGCTCAAGTCGGCAGGGACTGTCGATGGACACAGGCCCAAGACGTCCGTCAGCTCATTGCCTGAGCGAGAGACTGTCGAGAAAGAGAGAGGGCATCGCAACCATGACAAAACCCGTTTCGATGTTGCTCCCGTGCCGATTCGTCGCACGTCGAATGACACGAGCTCCAAGCGGCGGAGTCTCGAAATTGTGGAATCCCTAGGCAGGAAGCTCAATCAGTCCAAGTCTCACAATCTTCGAGACAAGTACCATGAGGATGCCGGCTCTTACTCATCGGGAGAGGAAGACCTTGTCCAGGCGCGTCCCAAATCCGAAATCCTCTCCGGCAAGGTCACATTGGACAAGCCTAGATGGCGGCCATTCATTCCCAGGTCCCCTCGCAACAGAGCATACCTCGGATCCGAAATCAACGAGCGAATCGTCAGCTCAAGCGAAGTCCCCTCAGGCACCACACCCGCGCCCCGGCATAGGTTTGCATCCAAAGAGAACGACCCGCCCATCGACCTGCTTCAAGACCGATTTGCTCGACTTGGCATGCCTGAAGCCGATGCTAGCACCATGGCAGCAAACACGTCAAAGAGCACCTTACCACCAGAGCGGCGAGCCGCGGCTATTGCACGAATTGAACAAAGAAAGGCTGAGAAGAGGCGCGCCTTGGCTGGCCTGAATAAGGAGAACATGAGACCTTGAAGATAGAATGACGGATAACTGCACAGGGGCGGCTATGTCCTCGCCCGTTTTGTTTGGAGTTTTGGTGTGCGTGGGAACAGAATTCAGGCATTGTACATATTGTACTGGTAATTTGTATACTGGGTAGCATGGTGTTCCGGGGTATCATACCAAGTCGGAGTATCTCTAATAAATCCGACAACATTTTCACCGCGTTGCCCATTTTTACTTTCAGTCTTTTTACTTATTTTTGACGTCACCCGCGTTTATGCGCTCAGAGTTCCCTTGGTGCTAGGAACCTCACCCTCCTTACCAGCAACACGGCTCGTCGCCATCTTGACGGCCACAGCCAGGGCCTTGAAGGCGCTCTCGGCACGGTGGTGGTCGTTCTCTCCGTGCAGGCAGTGGACGTGCAGGGTGACTCTGGCGCCCTGGGCGAAGCTCTGCAGGCAGTGGGGAATCATCTCGCAGCTGAGGTCACCAATCTTTTCCCTCTTCAATCCGAGGTCGACGACGCTGTAGGGACGGTTCGAGAGGTCGATGACGGCGCGGGAGAGGGCCTCGTCGAGGGGAGCGTAGGCGAAGCCGAAACGGGCGAGGCCGGTCGCACTGCCAAGTGCGTTGGCGAAGGCGTACCCGAGGGCTATGCAAACGTCTTCGGCGGTGTGGTGGTCATCGACTGTTTGCGCAAGTGCCATGTAAGCGAAGGGATGTTCACGATGGTGGGCGAGGAAATGAAGAGGGAGGTGACGGACTGTGCAGGTCGCCCTTGCAGATCAGGGCCAGACTCCAGCCAGCGTGCTTGGAGAGGGCATGGAGCATGTGATCGAGGAAGCCGATGCCCGTGTTGACGCTGATGGTCTGGGACTTGCTGGACTGGGAGGCGTGGCCGTCACCGAGGGCCGCGGTGAGTCTCGAGTCGGTATCGGGTGGGAATGCCCCGCCATCCAGGTTGATGGCAAGCTGGATCTTGGTCTCGTTCGTGTCGCGGGCGAGGGCGGCCCATCTGGGAGGGTGGGAGGTCGACGACATTTTGCAGGGTGTTTTGGAGGAATGCTCTCAGACTGGTTCGCGGAGAGGAGATGTTCTTGGAGACGTCGTGGATTTTCCAAGAATATTTCAGCACTTTTTTTCCTGAGTCACTAATCTTCAAACGCCGCCGTCGGAGCTCTCAGTACACTAATGGTGGTGGTCGACGTGGGGGGCATTGGCCAATTGCAGCGCGGTAACTGTCAGCGACCTTCACCACCCGACGTTCTCAGCACGAATGTCCCGGCGCGCGTCGCCCACCATTCAGGGCGGTTTTCACCGCTTGGGCGTGCCCCACCACCGAGCCCCAGCGGCAGAAAAACGAGTTGAAAAGCCCGAGGCTGAGGGCGCTTCTTTGTCTTTCCAGCTTAATAAAATCCTTCCTCCAGAGGACACGGGTTCACAAACGATGATCCAACACATCAGCGCCGCAGCCTGGTGTCTCTGATTGGTCCTCTTCCACACCACCTGCAGATAGAAAAAAAGAGGGTTCCTCTTACTTCTGCACTGCCTGCCATCTGCAACCTTGCTATCCCGCAACTCATCGAAACCTCACTTTCCTGCTTATTTCACCATTCGCATTGGAAAACACACATTAACCCTTCACTTTTGGGGTCGTGTACTGAGACAAGATGTCGGAGATGCTGGATGCCTACTGGCAGGCGCCGCCCATCGCAAGGTAAGCTCCTCACTACATCCTCACCTCATCTCACCACCACCTCTCACCTTCACGATGCTAACTTGAGCCCCCTCAGAACCCTTGCGACGGCCGCCTTCGTCACGTCTGTCTCCGTCGTCCTAGGCTTCGTGAGCCCGTACTGGTTCATCTTCATGCCGGACTACCTGTTCAAGATCCCGCCGCAGATCTGGCGCCTGGGCACCAACTTCCTGCTCACGGGTCCCCAGCTCGGCTTGCTGTTTGATACGTACTTCCTCTACACCTACCTGACCGCCCTCGAGGTCGGCAACCCCCGCTTCCCCAGGCGCGAGGATGTCGTGTGGTACCTCATGTTTGTGTGCACTGTTATCACGGTAAGTCACTTGTCGTCACTGCCTTGCTGCCACGGCAGCCTGTCCTTGCCCAACACGTCCATCATTGTGTGGAAAGTTCCTCCCATGTATCACATCCGCGAAAGAAGCACTCGCGAAGAGAAGAAAAGTCTTCTGCACCTCTTATATCTGCCCGCACAGTGGATTCCCACAGCTGTAGCGGTTCCTGGAACAGAGGGAGATTACCCTCACGGCGCGGTACAGTCCACCTCAATTCGCTTTAGGACTGTACTCGTGGCGTGGGCATGGTGGGATGTCTTTGGATGGCTCGGGTAGCGTTCAATGCTGCTCGAGTGGTTTTCTTAGCGCCCTACATTTTACCACCCAATACCCTGGGTTTTTGTTTTCATCTGTCGTTCCGTTCATCATGACACCATTTCCATCATCAAATGAAGATGAAATCGCTCGCCGTAGAAAACAAAGCGCTAATATCGCACACAGGCGCTCTGCACCTACCTCATGGGCGGAGGAGCCTTCCTGCCGGCTTTGATTCTCGCCATGTGCCGCACCGTCACGCAGGACCAGCGCGGGATGAAGGCAAACTTCTACTTCGTCACCATCCCCGCCCAGCTGACGCCCTTCTGCATGATGCTCGTCTCCCTCCTCTTCCCTGGTGGCTACTACAACTTCATGCTCCAGCTCATGGGCTTCCTGGCCGCCCACCTGTACGATTTCCTCTCCCGCATCTGGCCCGAGTTTAGCGGCGGCCGCAACCTGATCCCCGCACCCGCGTTCCTGTCCAGGCTGGTCACCACACCGCGCTTCTACCGCCGCGACTATGGCACCGCCGTGAACAACAGCAGCCGCGCCCCAGCGGGAGGCCAGCCCTCGGGCAGCAGCACCGGCGCCTCTCTGGGCAACGGACCCCTTCCTGATTCTTGGAGGACGAGAGGCCCTGGACGCCGTCTGGGTGATTAAGAGGCGGTAAAACAGCGCGCTGTACGATAGATGTGTCAGATACCACCCTTTTGCATCCATTGCAGAGCATTCCTCGGAGTTTGCATTACGAATAATATTGTATTCGTCCTTGAGTTTCTTATCACTCGTTGACAGTTTGGTCTCTTTAACGCCGTGACCCCAATTCGCTCATTAAAATACAAAAAGCCGACCTGTGAGTACTCCGAACCTCTGTCATGACATTCATCGTCTCGACGTTATTTTTCTCATCCGTACAGCGTGCTCTTGCCACTGCGGATGGGCATGTCACCCTCATACGTCTCGGGGTCCTCCCTAGCCGGCGCGACGTTCGAAATGATGGTATGTCCGGCCAACGGCTTATCCTGAAATCTATCCTCATGGACCGCGATCGGCTGCGATATTTGCATGTTTCCGGTCTCGCCCTTTTCTGCTATCGGCGTCGCGTCTTGGACTGTGATCTGAGGCGGGCAGTACTTCTTCGGCACCCGCATGCGTCGCACCGAGGGGATGGATATTGACGGTATCTTGATGGATGTCTTCCGGGCTGGCGGAGGCCCAGGGGGCGGCGGTGGGAGGTTGCCCATGATGGGCGCCGCGGAGCTCAGGTTCTCGTGGTGTGATTCGTTCGACCTCCTCGGTGAGGGCGTCCGCGACATGGAGGCGGCCGGTGGGGGTCTGATTGGTATTGTGCCTTCTTCGCTGACGGCGTTGAGGTATGTCTGCAGGGCGTACGAGTCTGGTGTATTTGTTCTCCGGACATTGGGCGGCGTGGGTGTTGCGGCGCCGCCGCGGGTCGACTGCCTGCTCATGGCTCGGGGGATGTAGGCCGGGTGAGTGGGGAGCGCGCTGCCGAGGCCGTGGTGGCTGGAGCGAGGATCGAAGTTGTAGTGGGCCATCTCGCGTCCGAGCTGGGCTTCTTGCTCCATCTGGTCGTAGTAGTCGGCATTGTTGAAGTGTTGCTTCTCCTGCAGCTCGTAGTTGTACGAGTTGATGGAGGAGGACTTCTTGTGGTCCGCGATTGGCATGTAGGGGCTTCTGTTGATCGCGGTGAAGGAGCTGGCATGGCTCCTGGGCGGCTGGGGCGGAAAGTCGGGCTCCGCAGTCTGCGCTCTTGCTTTTCGTTGTTTGCGGCAGTGAATGATGAAGAGGCAGATCGCGCCGACGAAGACCAGGCCGCCGCCTACGGCGATGCCTACGACGGTGCCGGTGGTCATTGTCGTTGAAGAGGCGCCGCCGTCGCCTGGGAGGGTTGCGTTTGTTGCCGGTTCGGTGATGTTTACCGCATTGTCCGAGAAAAGCTGGCCAGTCAGGCCGATGATGTTACCGTCGGCTGGCTTCTGTTGGCAACCAGCTTTGAGCGCAATCAAGACTGGGGTCATGGGTCAGCATGTTTTCAGGGCAGTGTGTTTGCGTAGAACTGACAGTTGGAAAGATAGCTCTGGCTGTCGCTGGACTGCAAACACTTGGCACAGGGCCACCAGCTGTTCGAGAATTTGTCGCCGTCGGCTGTGCAGTAGTCGTATGAGGTGGCGGCGTCTGGAGTTGTGAGACCCGATGTCAGGGCGCTCTTGAGAGGCCTGCAAGCACTGTTGATGATGCATGGAGAGTTGATGTGGCTGATGGCGTCGGGGATATCGAAGAGGCAAACGTCTACCGCATATCGAATGTTGTCTATCAAGCATGGTCAGCCAAAAACCTTCTTCATTGCTTCCCAGATTGTAAGCTCTTACACAAGAACCAAGCCGCATCACTCGAAGCCCCCTTGGTTGCCTCGCTTTTCTGCAAGCAACTGACGCAGTTCTTGAATTTGATGCCCGTGCCGGTCGTGTGGTACTGGTCGTTCTCACAAACAATGTCGGACGAGTTTGTGCCTGGTATCGTGGCCTCGATTGTCGTTCCGTTCTGCCCACCCATGCACAATGCCGCACAATCCGAGCCGGGTGTGACTTCGAGCGCGAGTATGGCCGTACCAAGCGAGAATACGGCAAACAGATGCCACAGAGAGAAGGCGGCCATGGTTTGACTTTTGCCTCACAAGTCGAGGAGGGGCCGCAGAGGAATGGATAGGAGGAGGAGGGAGGCGTTTAGATTAGGAGGAACGCGGATAACCTCGTCACCATGTCAAATCACTCTTGTCGTGTAACTCTGGAGTTGTCAAGATGAGAGTCTCTTCCTTCCAAGAGGGTTGATGGCTATCGGGAAAGAAATCCAACGCCCATCTCGAGGAGATTCCATGGTCCTCTGCGGGACTGATCGCAGATATATTCCCGGAATTTCAGACGTAGCACTGCGGCACGGGCGATCTCCATGCAGGCGGCTCTGCATTGCAACTAGACATTGATCTATTTTTGCTGGTGTGTGGTGGTCTAGCAATCCAGCCAGCGGATGGCCGTAGGATGAAAGTCCCAAGACGGCAAAGCTCATATGAGGTGCGTTTGCTTTCTCCAGATCGCCAGGCGGGGAGGATTTTCCGTAGAGCTGAGAATAGCAGCCGAGAAGTGAGCGGGTATATGCGAGTCCAATAAGATCGCGCGTAGCTGCGAACCCTTGGCTGGTGTAATCGCGCCCAGGCTGGAACTTGGCGAATGGCGACGGGGGAAACGAGTCTCCTCAGCGCCAAACAAATGCACGTCAGGCCGGGATGTGAGGAAACGAACAGACGTAAGTGGCCAGAATCGAGAGACACACGGGAAGTTGAAACGGGGAAGAGAAGCTTGAGTGGTCTTGCAGGCGCCGGCCATGAATGCGACCCTTTCCAGGACCCCTGCTCAACGCGCGAAGTGGAAATCAGCCATTTAGCGGCCGTCTTCCCGTCCGATAGACCCGCCTACTGGCAAGCTTGACTGAGCAAAAGACTGACGGGGGCGGGGAAATCAGACCACTTTGTTTTCTACCCTCACTCGTGGCCGAGATTGCCACGCGACCAGATCTTGGACCGGAGCGCCGAGTCTCTTTCGTCCTCTCGGCGTTCTGCCTTGTGTCGACGGAGCAGGTCGCCTGGCCAGGAAGATGGCCGACCTTGTCAAGCGGGGGAT